GAAACTGATTTATTGACTCTGAAATTGCTCCTCAGTCTGTTCAATGAATGTAAATCATTGCTATTGAAGTAGCTAGAAATTAATCCAGAATAAGAGCAAACTAAGGATGAAACCACTTCTCTAGGGACAAGTTGTTATCTGAAAGCAACTATGAACTAGTCTTTAATACTGCAACCAATTGTACAGAGTCTGAACATTATACCCTGTCATATTTTGGATAATTACAGCCAACGGAGGAATATCCCCTTTTTAACCATTTGCTACTACACTTACATTATTAATGATATTATCCAAAGTTTGAATTGATTAACACTCAGGTCAGTTTTTATATAAATATATATCGGAAATGAGCCATAGCTTTTCTTCTTCTTTTTAGGGAAAGAGCAAGGAAAAGGAGGATTGTAATACAAATTTGAATTCCAGAATGTAGTTAGCATAGCTATTGAACAAAATAGCATAAGAACAGCATAGCATAAGAAAGAGACAAAATTCAGATTTGAAAAAAATAGGAGGTACCACTTTTAGTTTTTTTTAAAGAGCTGGCATATTCAGAATAGAATAGAAAGGAAAAGAATAGAATAGAATAGAACAGAATATTCTTTATTAGCCATATGTGATTGGACACATAAGGAATTTGTCTCCGGTACATAATCTCTCAGTGTACACACAAAAAACAAAGTAATATAATCACAACAATGATACCAATAAGAGGGGTTAGTAGAGAAGATGAGAAATATAATAATACAGCCATACTACATGGGTAAATATCCTTAGACTTAAAACAGTATCTTGGGAGTTAGGTATTTAGCAGAGTGATGGCACGAAGGATAAAATTGTGTGTAACTTATTTTTTAAATTAGGACATAGTGCACAATACTGATCAATGGATTATTACATTACTTGATTATTGTTTGGGAGATGAAGGTTATTAAAGTTCTTGCTGACAACTGAAATACTGAAGGTACCTATTGTAAGCTAGGAAACACTTGTACATCCATTCATCATGCGTTCATATGCGACACACATTTTAAATTGCTCCATTGTCCAAATTGATGCCATGCTTACTGAGAGCTATCAGCATTTAAAACAGACTTAAAATCCATTTTAAAAGTTTAAGTAGATAGGCCAACTGTAGCAGACTGAATGTGTGTTAAATAAATAAAATGATATACTTAGAAATCCAATGGCAAAAAAACCCAGAGGATTGTACTGATATCTTTGGTAGAGGAATGGAAACCACTGGAGGTGCTGATCCCGCCTGGCACATCCCAAAATAAGTCTGAAGATTTGGCATTGCTTCTAAGCAGATAGGAAGGAAACAAAGGGAAAACTCTCTTCTGGTCAAACAAAAATTTTGCCACAGTGTTCAGCCCAAAATTGAACTTCCTGCAAATATATGATTCTTTGATAATTTAATAATATTTTTTATGATCATACAAGGTTTACAAACAGGAGATAAGACTCTTCAAAAAGGGCTAAACCTCACTTAATTTTTGATGAATTTCCTATATTATTTGTGAATTGACAACTTCTAGCAGGCACTAGTTGTTCTTTAGTATAAAAGCCTCCTTTAAGTTGAGCTTGACTCGATAGGTTCATGTTCCAATAGTATTCTTAGCAACAAGCCCGATTATCTTGGTCCAGGATGCAGCTTTGACTTCTCAATGTAGTTGACAGTCTCCTATTTAAAGCCTAGCTAGTCCCAACTCCATTTAGTTTTCCAACCCAGACAAAGTCCGCCAGATGCTATTACTATTTATGGCCTCTATAATGCAGGTTGTTGCTAACTCATCCAAAGGGAGAGGAATGCTCAAGTGCAGCTAACAAATGCTCCAGTCTTATTTTAGAAGAGCCGACCTGATTGTTGTGCCACTTCTTCTTCTAAGGTCTCCTTTCTTCTTCCGAATTAACTCTAGGGAATAACATCATGTTGGACTTTCCAGACAGATTATGTGAAACCATAGCTCAATGTCATTCCCAATAGCCAAGCTTATAATTAAAGGTCAAATAGTCACTTCATCTGCAATCAATCAGTAGAAGAAGTTCTAATATCAAGAACCAATCAATCAATGGCAAATACACTAATAAAAGCCATGAATCAAATGCCTGTATTTCATGTATTGCATGTAAGGTGCATGTACTGTATGTTACAAAAAGTGGAAAGCAAAGCAAAATGAGAATAAATAAGCCTGGGGGAATCTCCAGAGAGGTATAACATTTATCTTCACTTATTAGCGCTTATATCTTTAATTATGTAATAAAATTAAATAACAAATAAAAGTGATATCACAAGCAGCAGTTAGGCAGCCTCATAAAAATCCACAGACTATTTCTATTAATGGTATCAATCAAAATGGAATTAATAGATTGAATAGTAGTTTCCTGTGAACTTGATATTCTCCAGACATTTTCAGAATTCAATTCCAGAGTTGTCTGGGAATTCTGGGAACTGAAGTCCCAAAACTTTATACCCCACTATGGTAGGCAGCAAGTTGAAGAAGATTGAACAATGGTAAGAACTTCTGTAAAGGTTAAATATGAAAAAGGAGAAGGGAGGAAACAGTTCTCGATTCTAACACATTCATCCCTTTGTGTCCTGAGCTCACATAGCTATAAAGTACAAATAAAATACTGCCTCCCCCCTGCCCCCCCCAAAAAAATCCACCAGCATATGGGAGGGAGCTGTGTTTTTCTCTGTATGAAGCAAGAACTTTTCCATGGTTCCAAACAGAGGAAGTGGCAGATGGCCTCTTGAGCATTTTGCATATGGGAATTCACTGGTTTTAATACAGGGAAGGAGAACTGTCTTACAAGAGCCTTCTCAAGCTTCTCTTATCACCACTTCTAAAGCTTCAAAGCTGTCATTTCCCCCCCTCCTTTGCTGGCGCTGTGCTATAATCCCCAGGGAACTGAAACATGGCACCCTGCGGAGGCTTCACATGCCAGAATGTTAAAAATCAGTTTAAACTCCAAGTGAAAGAGCTTTTGTGGCAGGAAGCCCCTAAGTGCTCTTGTTTGCTTAGTGATGGTAGAGTTTTGAAGGCAGATTAAAACCTCTTCACAGAGAACTTAAAAGAAAGCCCTGAAGTTCACAGAGGACCTTAAATATTCAGACACAGGTATTAAATGGGATCTTGCTTGCATCTCCCCAAACCTGCTCAGGTAAATTATAATGGAGTATCTCAATATAAAAGGAAAACGGCATCAAAAGTCCTAATTTCACTGGGAGGAAATCTTGCGATCAGATTACAGATGTACTTCTATTATTCAAGAAAAAATCGGCTCTGCACAAAAACTTCATTTTAATGTCAGCCACCACCAAAAAAAGGTTTTCTTGCCTGGTAACCTTATGCTTTATTCAAGGTCAGACTTTTTGGGAAAAGAGAAGAAGTTAGCAGGCATGCAATTCTCCCTGCACTTTTCTGGCATTTTACCATGATGTGAAATCTTGAAAAACACACTCCATCATTATTGACATCCACATTTGAAAGCAAATAACTTACCTATGCTTTTATAATTCATCCTAAAATTTGAAGACTATGGCCTGCAGGAAAGTCTGATCAAAAGTATCTCTTTTACTCAAAAGACAAATATAGTTCAAAGTATTGTACATCAATGACTCATAATAATCTTAAATTAAAATCCAATCTGCAATTATTGGAACGGATTTTGTTGTTTTAACTCGCTCATAATTTTAATGAATTTCTCCTAGTCTTTCCATATAAAAATAAAATATTAAATTGATGAACAGGGAAAAAATAAAAATGCCTTAAGCCAGCCTTATCAGTAACAAATGGCAATACCTTATTCTGCTGCTGAACCTAAAGCCATAAAGGTAGGGTAGGTAGGTAGGTAGGTAGATAGATAGATAACCAGTAGGCAGACATATAGACACAGATTCAATTATGTCATCATGGCATTTCTGTTTCCATATGCAAGCAGATGTGACAAACATATATGAATTTTAAATTGTCTATTTGTTCCTTTTTAATAATCATAAATTACAAGACTTAAATGGAACATATAGCACTGCCTCCCTACAAAATTGGAATCATATTTTAACTAAACTTTATATCTACAAGCGTAAGTATAAGGACAGAATTCTGAATGACTAGAAGGTCAATGTTTTAAGAATACTAATTTGTAATTGAATAAATGCACAGTTCTGAAATTTCTCAAGATAAAAACCTGTTTTTTAATGAAACATTCTACCAAATGTTTTTCTTTATATAGCAAATACTTTGTGCATTGCAATTTTGAGCTACAATATTTTTTGCTATTTAATTGTATTGAAATTTGTCAAATAATAATTTGAAACAAATCAACTGTTTCAATATTAGATTACAGATATAGAACATGAGAAACAAGGAAATAGCTTTTTCAAAAGAAAGTACAGATTAATAGCACAGTAAAACAATTACTGTATTCAACTCCCAAAGGAGAAAGCCACATTGTCTTCCTCTTAGAAAACCTACATTTGCACGCTGCAGAAATTATACTAATATTAATGCTATATTTTTATATAAACTTTTATATTGCATCAAATCTCTGAGTCAATAATAGTACCGTGTTTCTCATATAATAAGGCCGGGTCTTATTTTTTTTTGAGCCCCGAAAAAATGGCTAGGCTGTCTTTTCGGGGGTGACTTAATTCCCTCCCTTGCATCTTCAGGCGGGCAGCAACGGCTTGGATGTTGACCTCGGCGTTGGTGGGGCACTTCGTATCGGGGTCAACGCAGGCAGCACCATATCCGAGTGTGCAACAAAAGTACTTCCTAATGGCAAGCCCCCCCACCATTTCCCCCAGTTTGCATGTTTTAATATAGGCCTTAATTTGGGGGGAGGGGCTTAATTTCATTTCATGCCTATAAAACATGCTGGGACTTCCTATTGGGGGAGGCCGTATTGTTGGAGAAACAGGGTAGTATACATAAGTGCTTTTATAACAAAGCCCATGTAGGAGCAATGTAGTCAGACAATTGTTGAAAATAAAGACTTACCTAAGGTTAGAGATTTGTGTGTGGAACAGAAAATAATAGCCACTGTGTCTGCTGGTGTAAAGCCAGAACTCTTTCTAGGAAAAAATGTGACAAAAATTTAATATCTCTTCCACCAAATGTTTACTAACATTTATTTTAAAGACATTATTGTTTTCAATTTTAATTCAGCTTTGCTGACTTTATTACACTCACATATGCTTGGCATTTGCGTTTTTAAATTTAAGTCAGACATGCACAACTTCTCCTTGCTGACTTGAGGTCTGTTGGAAGGTGGTGGTTATAAAGTCACCTTTGCTCACATGGAAGGTATATTAGATTATATTAGATTAGATAGATGATAGATAGATAGATAGATAGATAGATAGATAGATAGATAGATAGAT